ATCAGCTTAGTTTAATACAGGTCCAACAACAGAGGCAGCCTCCTGAACTAAGGGGCACTGGTGTCCATGTTGATCTGGCCATTGGAGGAGTAGTGCCTGAAGGTCTCAAGGCAGCCACCAGGATCTATGCATGAAGTTCGGCCTTCAACTATGGAGTTCCCTCCCTGCCCTGTCCTGTTCCTCCCAGTTGTTAAATACTTTAAAAACCAGGTTCAACATATCCTAGATATGGGTCTGAGGAGTGTTCTCAGCCTTTTTAGTTTATTTCTGATGTCTGGGCCTGATTGGGAAATGAAGTGAGTGGCTAGGATCGTTGCTCCTGCTGAAAATTTGGGGTCCAGCCTAGTGTACTGTTGGAGGGAATCAGTAAGACGACTAAGGAACGCAGCTGGGTTTTCAATAGGGCCCTGGGTGATCTTGTTAAAGTTTCTCATAGGTGACTGCTTTATGGGCAGCCACCAGGAGACCAGCCACTAGATATTGGATAAATCTGTCACTGTGTTTCTGGCCCTGTCGGTCATCCTCAGTGTTTCTCTGATATATCCATCCAGTGTCATTTCTAGGGTCAGCATCAACTCCTGGGGGCATGGCCGGGACCACGAAATAGGCCTCGCTCTCATGTTCCTGCGTAGTTATTTAAATTGGGTCATGTTCATTTGCAGTCACTGTGGAGGATAGGATGATAAGAAGGTCATGCTAGGTAAGATCATAGGCCTCAGTCAGACAACAAAATTCTTTAGTGAAGGTGGTAGGATCATTAGAGAAAGAGCTTAGGTGTTTTTCTGTTTAGGAGGGATCAGAAAGTGAAAAAGGAGCATGGATCTGAGCCGTTCCTTCAGCTCTGGCTACCTTCTGAAAGGAGCAGAGAAGGGACAGATGGAAGCAGGTGTGACTGCTTACCTGAGAGGAGAGACGAGATACAGGCAAAGGGCCTGGACATGAGGGAGAGACTTGAGGTAGAGTGGAGGAAGGCTCAGGGAAGGGGTTTTCTCACATGGAGGGTGGAGAGGACTGTGGAGTATTGGAGCCTGGACCTGGGTACAGCGGAGGCCAGTGGGTATGGGGGAAACGACAGAGTTAGGGGAATCAGAGAAAGTAGTTTGAGCCTCCAGAGAAGAGTGTGACCACTTTGGAATATTGTGAGCCAGTAGAACTTGAAAGGTAAGGCAGGACTTGAAAAAGGGTGGGGGTATGGGAGCGCAGAAAGAAGACTTGCTATGTGAGATCTATGACCATTTTCCAGTGTGGTGCCAGTATTGTTTAGATCAGTAAGGACCATGAATTACAAAGTTCCATGTTTTGGTCAGTTGGAGCCATTATCCAATTGGTATTGAGGCCAAGCACTGTTGCAGTAGTAGATGAGGTGCTTAGGGCATATATCTGGCCTAAGTCCCAACAGACTGAGGTTTGAGAAAAGGCATCTTAGTGGAGTGGACAAGCTAGGCTTAGAACTTGTTTACTCCATGGCTGACTCTGCTCCTTTTCCCAACCAATAGGGGCACAGAGTCAGGAACATAGCATTCCAGGCGCCTAATCTGGCCTTCCGGGCACAAACCCAGGATTGCGGCGTCCCATGATTCAGTTATGGCCTATTGAATGGGGTTAAACAAGTGAGAGGGAGATCTCCTCTGTTTGTTTGTGCCAAGGAACGGGGCACCTAAGCTGGATGGGTGACCCCAAATCCAGGTCTAGATGTGATAGGAGCCCACTGAAATGGGCCTGTGGTTTACAGAATAGTCCACCAAGGGAGTTAGGAAAGGAGCTGGATAGCCAGAGGTGAAGGCCTCCTAGGAAGGAAGGTCAGGTAGATGACTTACCCCAGGATGCAAGGCCAATGATGAGTATGAGTCATCTGTAATGGAGAGGAGAGGTCCTAGGAGCAGGAAAGTAGCCCTGGTGCCGGTAGACATAACCTTCCTAGATTTCGACACCATGATGAAAGCTTTGGTGTAGTAAGGAGGAAGCAAAGAGATAGCAAGGCCAGTAAAACCATAAGAAGGTTTATGTCTGTGCTCCTGGGCAAGGTTCATGACCCCAGAGAGAGCTGAGGTCAGAACAGTTGTGCTAAGAAAAGGGTTAGAGGGGTTTTTATAGGCCTAGGTAGGGGGAAGAAATGGCCAGGTGGAAAATTTTGACTAGGAACTGGAGCTAATTTTCGGCCCGGGCTTGCCTTAACCGGTGGTGACAAACAAGTCAGGAGATTATGGCTCCCAAATATATGCTTCTGCTTTGGGCAACTGCTCTTTCCATATGCCTATGTTTGGCAGGTACCTGAACCTTACAGTGGGGAGGTTAACTATGGCAGTGTTTATCTTGATTTTTATTTTGCTCTTTTCCTTCTAGACTTGTCTTGCCATTGCTGACCCTTTTCTATGGGTCCCTCCCAGAAGGTGCTTTAGAGTTGAGACAGGCTTTTAGGCATTGCTTTGGGCAAATCCCTTTGGAGTAGACTTTTACCCACGAAGGGATGGTTAACTTAGGGTGTCTGATTTAAAATCTATATTTTTTGTCTTTTCTGTATTGCACACTGATTGTATTATAGTACCTTTCCATTAATGGTGTATGGTTTGATGAGGCGGATGGCAGAACTTATTCAGAGTGGGCTGGTTTGGGGGCTCCTGGAATGATGGAGCCCCCTCCCTATCCTGAAACATACCCAGACAGGTGTCAAACTGTTGCAGGGGGTGTCACCTGAAGATGAAGATATGAGGCTTAAGGAAAAAACATCCACCATGAAGATGAGACTCTCCCTAGGGAAAGAAATTATAAAACCCAGCATTGCCTAACTGTACCATGCAGGGGCTTATTTTCACCTGCTGAGGCAGGTCTCCTTAAGGCTGCCCGCCTGCAACCATGCAGACCTCTGTCTTTTACTTTTCTGTCACTTCCCCTAATAACCATTTTTTTTTTAAATATAACTAACTGTAACAGGGTGGTCCCTAAGAAAAGGGGAAGTTCCAGGTTCCCTGCCCCACCCAGGAGGGTGGAGCTGAGCAGAGAAAAGGAGAGAAGAGAAGGAATCAAGAGAGAAGAAAGGAAGGAAGCAGGATGGAGAATAAGAAGGAGCCCTGAGGAAGCCACATGGAGCAGCAAGCATGTGATGAAGAAACCGGGCTTGTTTCCTGACCCTGGACTGGTTAAGGCAGATGTGGTGAGATACCTGTAGGGAGGTGACTATAGCAGTGTTTATATTGATTTTGATTTTGCTTTTTTCCTCCCAGATTTGTCTGGCCATTTCTGACCCTTTTCCATGGGTCCCGGTCAGAAGGTGCTTAACAAACAGGTCTTCAAGACCACTGAGAATGCCTGGGGATTAGTGGTTTTGGCATTCAGTCATTCAGTTCCTAAAGTGGTTTGGAGACAACTGAGAATTAACTAATCACAAAGAGACTGAGAGTCTCCAGAATAATTAGGGAAATAGTATCTATTCCCTGAGGCATGACTCCAGGGTATCTTCCTTGTCCCTCCCTGGCCTGGTACATTGGCCTGGGAGTGCCACTTTGTTTCTGTTCCTTTTTTCCTTAATGGAATTTTACTTATAGCTCTGCCTCTAAACAAAATTGCCTCTTCTTTTTCCTTACTTGCTTAAGAATCAGTGAAGTTCCTATTGCAGCTTCATGTGGCACCAACCCATAGTGGTCTAGTGGCTGGTACTCAGCATTGCCACTGTAGCCTGGGATACGTTAAAATTTTGAAATTGCGGTATCACCAAGTTAGCGCAGGAAAACAGAGGATAAAGGAAAGCTTCACATCCTTCTTTCCAGTCAGACTTCCCTGCTGCTTCTCTCAGCAGTGTTACTGTTACAGGGCAGGGAGAAGGGCACCACCAAACCCCCAAACCTGCCTGTTTTTAATAAATTATGCCATCTCCCGCATCAAGAGAAGACATAAGAGCTTTACTGGAAAGGAACTTTAATACAATGAGTATACAAGCAAGCACTGTTTCTTCACATGTCTCTCTCTGCTCCATTTCTCTATGGCTTCCGCAGGTCTCTTTCTGGCTCTCCATCCTGCTTCCTTCCTCCTCAGCTACCTTTTCTTTTCTCTGCTCAGCTCCACCCTCCTTCTGGGTGGTGCAGGGAACCTGAAACTTCCCTTTTTCCTGGGGACCACCCTGTTACATTACCAAACATCCTCTCTTTCCTTCAGCCAATTAAAGGAAACAGTTTGAGGAAAAGGAAAGTGGTCTAATTTGTCCACAAGTGAGGAGGGTAGCAGACTTATATCTGAAAGACCACTGTCCTTCTCTTTGGCAGGGTGTAGGGTTATTTATAAAAAGGAAAAAAAAAAAACCGAAGGTGGGGGGAGAGATGGGCAAGGGTCTGCAAAGGGGAGGGTGCAGGAGATGGAGATAGTAACAGGTACTAGCCTGTTTTCTCAAAACTGCTGTTTAATTCCTCTTTCCCTTGAACTTAAGACAAAGGAAGAGAAATTCCAAAGAATAGGGGAATGCAAACTTGCTAACGGTTATCAGGGAGACACCAATCCAATCAATCATAGAGAAGACAAACTTGTCAAACAAGGGGAAGACAAACTTGTTAATGCTATCCAAGAGACCAGTGATTTGTAACTGTATCAACAGTGTATTTCAATAAGTCCTTCTTTTCTGTTCTCCACTCTGTCTCTGGTGAATTGTTTCACCCTCTCACTGATCTTTCGGATCTTTCTCCCACAACAGAACATTTTGAAGGAAGGTTCTGTGTGTGGGCTGAGTGGAGTGTGAAGAGAGTGTGAGTATGCCACTCATTTACTCCTGTTGTCTTCTGGAGGATTTTTTCTGCCCAGGGGCCAGGCCACCATTCCTTTGCTCTCCTCACAACCTTTGACATAATTATCTGTGACAAGTTGATTTAAAGTGCAGCTGCTGGAAGAGAAACAGGCACGTCTTGCTTGGCCTTCTGGGAGTTGTAGTCCTGCAGGCCCCCAGGCTGCTTGGCTGGCAGTGCAGCTTCGGACTACAATCCCCAGGCTTTCTCCAGTCCCTCCCGCACAGGCTCAGAATCCCTTGCTCTGAGGAGGTGGTTACATTGTGTCTATTGTATCCTTGGTTTTGTGTCTGTACATTTCTCCGTACCTGAAATTAAGAGTAAAAAGCATGGCAGATGAACAAGAAATCATGTGCAAATTAGAAAGCATTAAAGAGATCAGGTAAGTGGAATGTTGCTGCACCCCATTCCTCAGCCTCCGTGAACCTTCCTCTTCTCAAATCCTTCCCTGTGGGAAATGGCTGAGTTACCCTAGTAAGGTATCTATTGTTGGACTGCTTGCCTGGGCCTGGGGGGAGGGGTCTATTTATCTCAATCTGGGGTGGAGGGAAGCTGGCAGCCAGAACTGGGACTCCTAGAGAGAGAGAAACAATAAAACCAATGGAGAGAGACTTAGTGGCTGACTTGGAAGCGAAAGCCCTGTGGAGACACACTGGGGATGGGGGAGGGGGCAGGATGGCGGCGGCTTTATTTTTCTTTTGGTGGAAGTTGGGGAATCACATTCTTGGACACACTGATTTTTAAAGTGTTGTTGCTTCAAATGTACTTGACTGCTTGCTCTTTAGGAGTAGATTTTTTTTTTGTTTTTCAGTTTCTGGTTCAACTTCAAGACCTGGAATTCTGGGGAACCTTTTGAAAGTAGAGTCTAGTGCCTTAGGTTTGGTGGCCACTGCCTGGTACAGTGGGTTGGGGGTGGTGATGGTGGTGGCCGGTTGAGGGGGTGGTGGGAGGGGGAGTTGCTGGAGGAATGTCATCTGGCTGGGCCCCAGAAATGCCATGGGAAGTGTCCTGACAGAAGGACTTATGCCTGTGATTTCCTCCCCATGCTTTCACTCATCACTTTGTTCCTTTCCATTCCTGGGCTTGGGAAGGGTTACAGGAGCAATGGTGTCTGGGGAGGTAGTAGCCAAGCCTATGGTGGAATTCAGAGGCTAGGCTAAGATTCCAGAGGTGAAGGGCTTTAGTCCAGGGCATTTTCTCTCCATTCTCTCCCTGAACAGCTTTGACAAAGCTATGTTGTCTTTGCGCAGAACAAAATAGTGCCTGATAAGTGGGTTTGTGTCAGTCCTTTCTTTACCTGCCATCTTTTGCTTGACTACCCTTCCTGAGCTTCCACCCTGGTTTTGCTGGTGGCATGGACCAAGCTGTCTCCCTTAAGTGTTTTCCAGGAACCTGAAGAAAAAGAGTGAAGGATATCAAGTTTGCCCCTTCAGAAATGAAGCTGACCAAGAGATTTAGCACTTTGCTTGCTAAATAAACTTAGGTACCTCCTTAAGACTGACAGGTGATGGTAGTGGTTAATGGAGCTGGTGGTGATGGTGGGGAAACACCTTATCATTTTGACCTTGGGAGGAGTAGCTTCTCTATTGCAAGGGAATATAAGGAAGGGAATAATTACTTATTGAGCTCCTGTTATGCCAAGCTTTTTGACCTATAACTTCAAGAGTTCTGATAGGTTCCTACACTTCCTCTACAAGTGGGAAAATGGAGGTGCAGACAATTTAAGCAACTTACAGAGCCAAAGAACATGAAAAGGCAATCTGTTAGTGACCCAGTATCTTCCATCCAGAGATTTTAGTCTTAAACAATTCTATTGCAAGGAGGGTCCTGGAAAAGGGGCTGACTTCAAGGAAAACTTTGCCTCACCACCAGAGAGGGAAAAGTGATTCCTCCCAGTGGAAGCCACCTAGAGAGAGCCATGACTTCTACCTTCACCAGAGGTAAACTAGGCATTCCTTAAAAAAGTGCTTAACTAGTGTCAAAGGCAGTGCCAAGGTGGGAACAGGACTCAGAGGATTCTTATCTGTGCACTGAACAATTGTGCAAGAACACTCAGGCTCAGGGAATAACAGCAGTGGGGTTTATTTAGCAGACAGGATACTAGGGAAAGGAAACTGTTTCTAAGGTCACAAGTGACAGTCTCATTCTCAGATCATGTCCACAGTGTTCAGTAGACTTAAACAAAGACCAAACGTGCAAGATGGCACTGTCCTGTCAGTGAGGTCCTGGAACTGATAGCACACTGGCAAGCAGTAAGGATCCAACTCATTGTAGCAGCTGGAGGTACTGAAGTGATGCTGTAGCAGCACATAGCATCATTGTGAAGGCCTGGGTGGATAGCACTGGATGCTGGACCAAAGAGCAATTAAGGCAACAACACTGAAAAGACAGTGTTTTATAATATTTAGGAGTAGACAACACTCAAATGTGACTGGATACAGAGTGTTGGTCACCACTGGTCACTAAGAGATTGTGTCAAGCACACCATTATAATGGCTCTTTGAGACACCAGTCCCAAGACCATTGGTGCTCCTTGCAGGCAATGTCAGAAGCAGGACTGGAAGCAAGGTTGGAGGAAGGTGCAGTAGCCAGGTCTTTGTGAAGGTCTATGGAGTCTGGTGATTCCTACAGAAGTTGCTGTTCAATGCTGCTTTTCTTTGGAGACTGGCTACTGAGTCCCTCTGTTTTCAGAGGCAAGGAATATAATGGATTCACACTGGCTTCTGTTCTGCTTTATATCCTCTTTCAGGGTCCTCTACCCTACAAGCTTGATTGGACCATTTAGCACCAATCAGGTTCCTTTCATTTTTGAGTCTGCATAATTAACATTGCCGTGAATGAAACTGAACTTGAACCTGATTTATCAAACCTGATTGGTCCATTTATGATCCTGGCTTCAGTTATAAAAGGGAAAAGTCCACCTCCTGTGGGTACTTACTTAAACATGTCCAGGCCAGGGCAGGATAGAGAGCAGAGGGTTCCAGTTTCATTCTTCCTACCAGCTGGCCTAGTTTCCTCAGAGGCCTGGAGAGGAGGCTGAATGACCACCCCAAGCAGAGTAACAATAAACCCTTCCCCAAAGTGAGTGTCAACCAGAGACCCAGTGGAGAACCTGGACTTCTACCATTCTGCTGGTCAACGGAGGCCTGCAAACACAGAATTCTTAAAATGCAGAGTGTCCAAATTTAATTTAAAAATTCACTTGACATAACAAGATACCAATTTAATAGCAACGGAAAGTAAATAGATGCTAATATTGAAATGGTACAGATATTAAAATTATTTGACAAGTATTTTAAAGAAGCCATCATAAAAATGCTTCAGTGAGCAATTGCAACAAATGATAAAATAGAAAATACCAGCATATACATAAAGCCTCAGCAAAGAAACATAAAACAAAGATGAACCAAATGGAAATTTGAGAACTGAAAAATATGATAGCCAAAAGTCAATGGATGGGAATAAGAGTTAAATATAAAATAATAGAAATCATCCAATCTGAGCAACAAGATGGAAATTAGATTGAGAGAATAAATAATTGAGGGAAAATAAAATGTCAGACTTAGCCTTAATGTATTAATAAATATATTGATTATAAATGGTGTAAACATAGCTATTAAAAGAAAGAGTGGGGTTATTTAAAATCCATTACACACTGATACAATTTCTAGAAGAAATGTACTTCACTTATAATGATATAGATAGGACAAAAGTAAAAGGCTGGGAAAAGATATCCATGCAAACATTAAAGAAAGTGGAAGCATCTATATTAATATCAGTTAAAGCAGATTTCAGAGCAAAAAAAAAAAAATCTTAGGGATAGAAAAAAAACATTATCTAATGAGAAAGGGCCAGTCTACAAGGAAGACTTAATATTGATAATTTCAGATATGTATGAATAAAAAGTGATTTGAATTAGCCTGGTTTTGACAACTTCCCAGTAGCATACAAGGTTAAGTCACTTGGCTTAAGAATTTCAAATGGGGAAAATACTAAAACACATAGTTAATGTTCATATGCAGACAGTAGATGTATACCAGAGGTCCAGAGAAAGAAGGGGCAAAAGAAGGGGTTGAAAGAACTGAAGAAAGGAATTAATATTTGTTGAGCACTTACAATTCCAAAGGCTTTGTATTATTAGCCTTTCATTTTTTTTCAAGGATTTATTTTTGCATACAGAACTGGGGTACAGGCTAGAGGTGCAGGAGTGGTGAGATGATTCACCAGAGACAGTGGGTAGGAGAACAGGCAGATGGATGAAGTACATTGTTGAGGGGAGCAGCAAGCAGGACAGGAGAGGTCTGCTGCACCACGTGGGTCACCTTCCTGGCTGGGGATTGAACTCTTGTTGAAGTGGTTTGGCTAGCCTTGTAGTGCTGCGATTTAAACCTTCACACCATCAGGGAGACCCCTTTATTCATTTTTCTAATGACAGTCTGTGATGAAATTATTATCCCATTTTACAGATAAAGATATGAGACTCATATTAGGTAACCTAACAAAGCTACAATTTATGCATTTAAACAAAGGCTGATAACTTGATCATTGTTTATTGTTTTTTCAACTGTTCTAAATCCTTTAAAGGTATAATCAGAATAGCCTTATTTATGTTTTAAAAAAATGAATAACTTACCTCTAAACTGAAGTAATAGTGATGATGGCAGTATCACCTAAAGATCTGGTTGAGTAAAGCCGAAAACACATGCACCTAGATCTGAAACTGAAGCCCTGCTGGGCAAGACCAACTTTTTGCCTCAGCTACGTGAGCAGTGGAGCCATTGGAGAAAGGTGGTGATTAATCCCTACCCTCGAAGTTGCTGCTTATGGGCAGGTACTCCTCTGGCACCAATCTGAGCTTGAATCCCCTGACCCTTTGAGGCTCTAGTGGTCGTGGCAGTGCCCACCCAGAGTGTTGCCTCTGGGCAGCACCCAGGCTGTCCTGCAGCAGAAGGCTGTGGGACAGCTACACAGAAGCCAGGTACTTGCTGGACTTTGTGACTGCTCAGGTGCTAGCTGGGTTTCAGCACTGTAGCACCCACTCTTGGGCCTCTGGTCCCTGGCCTCAGTGTGCTGCATATGGTCAGTGCAAGTGGCCGCAGGTGGTGGGAATTTTGCCACCTGCCACCAGTGGCCCACTGGGATTAAGGTTGCAGACACAGGCTGACAGTGATTGCTGGCAGCAGTATTTCCCCAGGACATGTTTGGAGCTTGCTCTGGCATAGGAGGCAACAGCTAGCTCTATAGCCTCTGGTTCAGTGATACTGGGAAGTGTATGGGGCCCCACTGGGCTCACTCCCAACACTGCGTCTCTCTTAGAAAGAGCTGTTAACATAGTATATCTGATACTGCTTACTGTGGTTTGTGGTAAGTGGCACTATGTCA